GCCAAGCGGCTTGCCCTCTCCAGCTGATAAGGGTGCGCTCTGAAAGGCCCGCGGGGTGCAAGCTCAGCTTGGGGTCGCGCACTCTGTGGCCAAAGGACTGCGAGTTCTCCGGGCTGCGGGGCGCACGCTCGGCCAGGAGATGCGCTCTCGCCGCGGGCCCACCCTGTCCGGCCCCGGGGCGTTTGGGAGAGGCTCCCCTAAGCCAACGCTGGCTGGAGTGTGCAGCGTCTGCCCTCCAGCAGTTCCCTACGAGCGGAGAAAAGCGCTGCGCAACGGCGTGAGCCGCAAGCTGTCGGGTGTGGCCGCGCGCAAAGGGTGCATGCTGCGGTGGGTGTGGACCGGCAGGAGCCTTGGGCGAGGGTAGAAGGGTGCTCCAGGCAGTGCAGAGAGAGCTGGGACAGTCTGGGGAGAGGAAAACCAGGTAGCAGCCCCAGGGAACAGTGGAAGCAAGGGTGGTTAACATACAAGGCCTCTGCGTCCAGCTTACATCCCCAGCCCTCCAGGAATTCGAAGTCGGCCTTCTGCAGTAGATCTGGAACTCCGGCAAGGCGGGAAGCAGAGTGAGTGCCTGGGACTGGCACTGTACCTGCACTTAGGAGGTGCTCAGTTAACTTTCACGAAGGAATGATGAGTAGTGTGAAGCTCTCCTTGAAGGACAAGTCTCCCAAGAGCATACTGGACGGGGCTTTTTGTATTTATTTATTTATTTTTTGAGAAATAGAAAATCATTGGACAGTGGAGTTCCTGGATTAAATGGTAAACTAGCTGTTGTAAAGGCCAAGCTAATTAATGTCCAAGCTAATCACTCTAGTGGTTTGCCAGTTCTCCACGCTCCCTGGTCTTTTCTTGCCTCCAGAAATTGGCACTGGCCTCAGCCTCTCCACTCTCCCTGCACCCGGTTCCTGGCACACATTACAGTGAGAAAAACCCTGAGTAGGTCAGATACCCCACCCCTCTCCCCTCCTAGAACTCTGCGTACTCATTTCTTGCATATACCTCTGGAATCCACTCTCTGTGATCCACTTGTCACTCCCCACCTTGTCACCTTGGACAAAGTGATTCACCTCTTTGGGCAAAGTTTCCTCACACTTAGAATCAAGTTAACAGTGGTTCGCACCTCAGGGTTATTGGGGGCGGGTTACGTAAGTCTGTTCAATGCACATGGTTAGCAGAGTGCTAGGCAGCTAGTAAGTGATCAGTTAATGTTTCTATTAATATTTGGCATTTCTCATTCATTTCTCCTGCTTCCCCATTCATTCACACAATAAGTGTTCTTGGAAGGCCTGTGATCTGGGTACAGAGATACAAAGTAGAATACGATACAATATTTTAGGCTCAAAGAGGATAGTTTCTTTTCTCCAGGGTGATGGAGCAGCATGCAAGCAAGTTGAAGGAAATGCTGGCGTAGAAGAGGGGACACTGTGCTTGCTTCTCCCTTGAGCAGCCAGCAACAGACAAGGATTCAGAGAGGAAGTTCCTGTTGCAGTGAAATGTACAAGGTATTTTCCAGATTTTGAGGAGAACAAGGGG